ACCAGTCCCTCACTGTCCTGACCAGTCCCTCAGTGTCCTGACCAGTCCCTCACTGCCCTGACCAGTCCCTCAGTGTCCTGACCAGTCCCTCACTGCCCTGACCAGTCCCTCAGTGTCCTGACCAGTCCCTCACTGGCCTGACCAGTCCCTCACTGCCCTGACCAGTCCCTCAGTGTCCTGACCAGTCCCTCCCTGGGCTGACCAGTCCCTGACTGGGCTGACCAGTCCCTTACTGGGCTGACCAGTCCCTCAGTGTCCTGACCAGTCCCTCAGTGTCCTGACCAGTCCCTGACTGGGCTGACCAGTCCCTCAGTGGCCTGACCAGTCCCTCAGTGTCCTGACCAGTCCCTCACTGGGTTGACCAGTCCCTCACTGTCCTGACCAGTCCCTCAGTGTCCTGACCAGTCCCTCACTGGGCTGACCAGTCCCTCACTGGTGTCACTGGCCTGACCAGTCCCTCAGTGTCCTGACCAGTCCCTCAGTGTCCTGACCAGTCCCTCAGTATCCTGACCAGTCCCTCAGTGTCCTGACCAGTCCCTCAGTGTCCTGACCAGTCCCTCCCTGGGCTGACCAGTCCCTCAGTGTCCTGACCAGTCCCTTACTGGGCTGACCAGTCCCTCACTGCTCTGACCAGTCCCTCAGTGTTCTGACCAGTCCCTCAGTGTCCTGACCAGTCCCTCACTGCTCTGACCAGTCCCTCACTGTCCTGACCAGTCCCTCACTGGCCTGACCAGTCCCTCAGTGTCCTGACCAGTCCCTCACTGGGCTGACCAGTCCCTCACTGGCCTGACCAGTCCCTCCCTGGGCTGACCAGTCCCTCAGTGTCCTGACCAGTCCCTCCCTGGGCTGACCAGTCCCTCAGTGTCCTGACCAGTCCCTCACTGGCCTGACCAGTCCCTCAGTGTCCTGACCAGTCCCTCACTGGCCTGACCAGTCCCTTACTGGGCTGACCAGTACCTTACTGGTGCACTGGCGCACGGTGTTGATCAGCTCCTGGATCACCAAGTCCACACATTTCAGGNCTGACCAGTCCCTTACTGGGCTGACCAGTACCTTACTGGTGCACTGGCGCACGGTGTTGATCAGCTCCTGGATCACCAAGTCCACACATTTCAGGCACGGCTCCTTCAGCTTCACCACCTGCTTCTTCACGATGGCCTCGAAGGCCAGGTCCGGCGTGAACAGCCCCGTCCTGGAGCCCGGGGAACGGGAAAAACCCCGGTCAGCCGGACTGGGAGGGACTGGGAGGGACTGGGAGGGACTGGGAGGGAGTGGGATGGACTGGGATGGAACTGGGATGGAACTGGGATGGATTGGGATGGGACTGGGATGGACTGGGAGGGAATGGGATGGACTGGGATGGAACTGGGAGGGAATGGGATGGACTGGGATGGAACTGGGAGGGACTGGGAGGGACTGGGAGGGACTGGGATGGAACTGGGAGGGACTGGGATGGAACTGGGATGAACTGGGAGGGACTGGGATGGAACTGGGAGGGACTGGGATGGACTGGGATGGACTGGGAGGGAACTGGGATGGACTGGGATGGAGCTGGGATGGACTGGGATGCACTGGGATGAACTGGGATGGAACTGGGATGAACTAGGATGAACTGGGAGGGACTGGGATGGACTGGGATGGACTGGGATGGAACTGGGATGCACTGGGATGGGATTGGTATGGACTGGGATGGAACTGGGATGGAACTGGGATGAACTGGGATGAACTGGGATGGAACTGGGATGCACTGGGATGAACTGGGATGAACTGGGATGAACTGGGATGAACTGGGACGGGGCCAACCCCACCCTGACCCCAAGAGAGTTTTGGGTTCCTCCACCCAGGGAGCGATTCCGCTCCCACAAACAATTCCCACCTCGGCACAAGAGACAAGCCCTGCTCCAGGAGAGCCTGGCCTGATGGTAAATGTTTATAAACTCGTGCGGATTTAGGAATAAATGAAAAATCCGCTTAGAAAGCCCGGGAAAAAGAAATATTTTAAGTACATGGAGAATTAGTGCTTGCTAGAACTTCACCTGTGTAGCTGGTACATGATAAATGATAATTGTTAGATGTGATGATAGATTTGGAATTAAATATTATTTAATCGGGACTGTACATATTAAATGATATAACTGTTAGATGTGATGATAGATTTGGAATTAAATATAATTTAATTGGGACTGTACATATTAAATGATATAATTGTAAGATGCGATGATAGATTTGGGATTAAATATAATTTAATTGGGACTGTACATATTAAATGATATAATTGTTAGATGTGATGATAAATTTGGAATTAAATATAATTTAATTGGGACTGTACATGATAAATGATATAATTGTTAGATGTGACGATTGTTTCGGAATTAAATATAATTTAATCGTAACTGTACATAATAAATTATATAATTGTTAGATGTGATGATTGTTTTGGGATTAAATATAATTTAATCGGGACTGTACATAATAAATTATATAATTGTTAGATGTGATGATAGATTTGGAATTAAATATTATTTAATTGGGACTGTACATATTAAATGATATAATTGTTAGATGTGATGATAAATTTGGAATTAAATATAATTTAATTGGGACTGTACATATTAAATGATATAATTGTTAGATGTGATGATAGATTTGGAATTAAATATAATTTAATCGGGACTGTACATAACAAATTATATAATTGTTAGATGCGATGATAGATTTGGAATTAAATATTATTTAATTGGGACTGTACATAATAAATTATATAATTGTTAGATGCGATGATAGATTTGGGATTAAATATAATTTAATTGGGACTGTACATGATAAATGATATAATTGTTAGATGTGACGATTATTTCAGAATTAAATATAATTTAATCGTAACTGTACATGATAAATTATATAATTGTTAGATGTGATGATTGTTTTGGAATTAAATATAATTTAATTGGGACTATACATATTAAATGATATAATTGTTAGATGTGATGATTGTTTTGGAATTAAATATAATTTAATTGGGACTATACATATTAAATGATATAATTGTTAGATGTGATGATAGATTTGGAATTAAATATAATTTAATCAGGAATGTTTAATCATAAGAATAATCATGAGAAACTGTGGTCAGGGACCTGAGAAAGACCACGAGAAACTCACGTCAATGTATACACCAGAACAATATAAATTGAATAATTACTATGTAATTAATAATAGTAAGTTATAAAAGGATAAAATTCAAAACACGTTCAGCTCGAAGCTGTGTTGGAGTCAGATTTGGGTTTGTTAATAAAAAATGATATTTGGTGATAATTTGTGCTCCTGGATGCTGACAGGAAAAGATCCCTGCTGGATACTCGCCTCACCCCGTGGATGTTCTTGATGGCGTAGCTGATCTCCCGCCTCAAATCCTTCTCATCAAATTCCATCTGCCGGGAAAGGGGGTGGGAATCATCAGGGATCCATCAGGGATCGATCAGGGATCGATCAGGGATCAATCACTGTCCAATCACTGCAGCTGCTCCGGCCTTACCTGCCTCAAATCCCGGGATTTTTATGGGTTTTTAATGGTTTGGGTTGGGAAAATTCCAGGGACAGGGACAACCCCAATCCTCACCTTCACCAAGTCAAATTTTGGGATT